TTTTTACTAAGTAATGATAACGATTGGTTTCCATAATCATGTGTCAACTAAACATGATTCATAAACAGAGTAGATACCAGAAGTAACTGATGATACTAAAACAGCGTAGGATTGATGATATTAAACAATTCAAATTTTAAATCTGCGAAAAAAGCTTTTAATTACTGTTTAGTAAATCTGAGAGAACACAAGAAAGACAAAGAAAAGTGACATTTCTGTTTGTTAAGAGGATGAGCTTCATTTACAAAAGTGTCATTGATGAACAATATTAAAAGCTAACAATAGCCATTTTAAGATATCGAACATTAATCAAGGTAAACNAACTGAAGAAGTTATACACAGTCCGGGGCCCCTGGGGTCCGGGTTTCAGTAGAATTGCAAAGTTATAATAAATTAACTGATTTGCTCCTTTTTGACAATCAACCGGATAAAAATCATATATTTGAAGGACTTTGCAGTATTCCGCTTTGACGATGTCCGTGAAGTATAATAAAGAGTTATAAGAAACTTGAAATCGTCAAATGCATAAATTTTTCTTCTGTGTTCAATCCTGGAAATGTCAATGCCGCTCCTTGTCTTTCCCCTCTCTAAATACCCTCAATAAAGAAACAGTATTTGTCGAAACTTATCCCTTAAAGCGCATCTAGGAAAATGTTTTGATATCGGTTACTTTGGTTCAAGACATCAGATTTGAAACCAGTATCCAATCCTGACGTATGTCGATTTCTTTGTCAGTTCAAGGCAATTTGATCTTGAGCCTTTGATCCTGTTTGATCCTCACGTGCACAGCTAACAACAGCTTTCTTAATTTTCAGCAGATTTTTAGCTTTACTCCTCTCCTCTTCGAAAACTTGTACTCATTTTCCCACCAAACAAAACAGGACTAATCTATTCATGTCTCTAAACCCGGCATCAACGATGATAACTCTTCGTCAAACATTAGCGCCGAAGAATGATCCAGATTTAGCTCGAAACAATCAAAATTCCCATGTTACCATTACATATACAAGCTCCGCTAAACAAGTACTAGTGGAGGGACGTTAGAGGGAATTAACTTCTACGAATGTCTCCATACAGATGTACTCATCGAGAACATGTTTTCTACTTTAACTGAAAGAAATAACATTTTATTAAAAACCCAAAGCACTGATCCACATTTTTAACACGTGCTGTTTGCGCAGTTTCCGCTTTGCGTGACCCATTTCTACCACAAGAGCAAAGAATCGAAGTTTTAATGTTTAGTGTTACTGATACTTCAGATACTTATTGTTCATTAGAATTAGGAATTGAAATAATTCAATTTGACGACCAGGGACGGATCTGTGGAGCTTAAAGACGGAAATTTGTCAAGAATCAAATAAAGCCGAAATAAAGGATAAGTTTCGAAGTTTAAAAATCAGAATGGCCTCTACTGAAAGACTCCTTCCGCCTGGTACTGACAGAAAAATAAAGAGTCATAATACTTACCTGAAAATTGAACTTGGTGATTGATTTTTGAAGCTAAGTCAGTCAATAACAGCAATGTATGAAATAAGGACAATTGAACGCGTTCAAGTTTAGTATTGGTAATAAAGACCCCCTCGATATACGTGAAACTTTCAAGACACTCAAAGGCCGTTTGACTGACTCGTTCAGTTTTTACTAAGTAATGATAACGATTGGTTTCCATAATCATGTGTCAACTAAACATGATTCATAAACAGAGTAGATACCAGAAGTAACTGATGATACTAAAACAGCGTAGGATTGATGATATTAAACAATTCAAATTTTAAATCTGCGAAAAAAGCTTTTAATTACTGTTTAGTAAATCTGAGAGAACACAAGAAAGACAAAGAAAAGTGACATTTCTGTTTGTTAAGAGGATGAGCTTCATTTACAAAAGTGTCATTGATGAACAATATTAAAAGCTAACAATAGCCATTTTAAGATATCGAACATTAATCAAGGTAAACTGGACAAAACAAGAACAAATTAAGGAAACTCCACTGAAAATTTTGGATGAACCAAATAATTATTTTCTATGAAATATTGCGGTTAATACCGTCAAAAAGACGACTGACATCAATTTTACCGGTAAGAACATTTTTTTTGACAAAACTGATATCTTTATCATCATTGCCGTTCTAATTTTATTCAACAAAGTAGCGTAGACCAAAATTCAAATTATCATTTTATTTACTTACCATTTGGGGTGAACTGCAAAATGTTTTTATATGTCGAATCGGTAATAAAAAGTTTTTCTGATTTGGTCGCTAATACATTAGCCAGACTCACGTTGATATTGTTACTCAGATTAAACAAGCTAAGAGTTTCTATACATAACTCAGTAAATCGTGTGTGAACATTCGATGTCTCGTGGAATCCCAAGGCGATTTCCAAAATAGTTCTGACTCGTTCTATCGTAAATTTCCGCCTACGGCGAGTCACGGTTTCAAATTTTACCCGTGAAAACACTTTCACAGCTCGAAATCAGTATACAGTGATGAAATTTTCTAGATATTTCAGTATTTGCTTGTTAGATTGAATTTAGTAAGCAATTTTCAAACTCATTATTTTTTTAGGCTACATAATTTCAAAGGATAGCTTCTGCACTAATTAAAATCCCAAGCCTAATTGGCGACCTAATGCGCGAAAACGTAAACTTGTTCAAATTTTGCCAAAATTTCAGTCTCTTATGCGTAAACTTTCAATGAAGAGCTCTTCAAATTAGGGCACAATTTCTCGAAGAAAATACAGAGATATTTCGTTGTGTTAAAGCTCTCAAAATTGATTAGCTGTAGAAAAAAATAGTAAGGTTTAATATCAAACAAGAGCGAAATACTATTACAAAGCTAACTGACAGTTAATTCAATAAGAAGAACAATGAATAGCCAACTGAATTAAGTCATTTCCCAAATCCAAAAGTGAACGCTTTTATTCATGATTTCAAACGGTAAGCGAGAAATTTTAATTTCTTTCTTATCGTTAAAACAGTACTATACATCCAGTGGAAAAATCTTCCGAAGAAAGATTCTGCTCACAGTTTGGCAAGAGAACATGATTTTTTTGCCATCTTTCTTTTCATGTTTTCAAGCGAACCTCGATTTTTGGAAGATCGAAGAAAAATTCCATGAAATTGAGACTTTTCAGTATTTATTAAAGAACAGTGAATAGGCGAAAAAGAAATCCCAAACTCAAATATGATAAACAGGATCGTTTCGAATTCCCTTCTTTAGAATAATCTCATCTTGCATGTATAGGAAGCATGTATGTCTACTCTAGCTAATGGATAATCCTTTTCACAAATTTTGTTCAATTTTTGTTTGCTAGATACATGTATGACCATGGACAGAAGAGGTTTACGAGCTAGGCTAAATCAAACACTTTGCAAACGTCAAGGACTAGTTTGCAGGGCAAGTAGAGATCGAATCACCGCCGCCGTATCGAGCCAGAGCGAATTAACCGAACGTGAGTCATAAAATTATAGTTTTAATAGGATATTAAACTCTGCGGACCAACAGAACCAACAGGTGAGTATCGTTAATCAGGCAAACGGTTATAATGGTGGTCGTGACTGATAAATTCTAAGTAGTCAATTTAAAGAAAATTGATATCTACAACTACTGATTATTAACACGACCAATAAAATAATAATAAAAAATTGTGTTCAACACAGTCACACATGTACATGTAAGCTCCGTAATCAAAAGTAAGTGAAGTGTGGAGTAACACAGGGATTTGATACCAAGCTTTATTTATTTTTACAGCTCGACAAGCTTGTTAATTATCGAGCTACAAAACCAAACTCTACTTTTCAAAATCATTTCTCGCTTACTTACAGATGAAACTTAACAAATATGTTCCACAAATATAATGGTTCTTAATACATTGGCACCCAACGACGGTTTCTTCCTAACTACATTGAAACTGAACACGTTTAAGGTTATCCAGAGTACTGCATTCTAAGCGGGCTATAAAAATTTATGTATCTGTTCGCTCATCGTCGTGGGGGAACTTGAGTCTTTTTGAAATTACAAGGGCTTCAGTATTATTTTCCCGAAAATTTTAGAGGCAATTTAACGTATTTCAAAAATGGAATTTTTCTAATTGCGATCTCCATCATATTTTCAATCTGAAAATTTTAGGTTTCCTTTTTCTACGAAAAATAGCCTAACCTAGGAAGTGAAATGTGAAAAATTAAACTTCAGAAAACCGTAGGAAATTTATTAGATAAGCTTTAAAAATTGTGCACGAGTAAAACATTTTAGCCGTCCTCAAGTTATACAAAATTCTAGGCAATATTTGCTTCTCCAAACAGATATTTTAAAGAAAACAGTCGTTGGATGCCCCTGTTTAGATCACACTCTTCGTACAGAAAAAAGCCGCACTTGTTTCTTAACCGACCATACAGTTGTTCAAAGACAAGCAAAAACTGACAGAATACTTGAGTTGAGGATTTTGAAAATAAAGAAACTGTTTGTTTTCTGAGAGGACAGCTATATTATTTAGTGCGTCTGCAGAAATAAAAAAGTCAAGCAAATTCTTGACCATGAACAAGCCCGAAGCATGAACCGGTGCTACAAGCCACTGTGTAAGACTGTGTAAGACCACTTAAGTTAACTGGTTACACTAAGATTATTTACTGGATGGAATTAAAATAGAAAAGAAAGGAAAATGGCAACTGGGACGGAAAATGAGGATAACAATGTACCACTCTTTCAATTCGAGGTCAGTTTAGGGAAATAATTTCTATAAGAGTGATATCATCTCGCGATGTCTCAGACCCTGGGTTATATATGAATAATCGCACTTGGATTAAAAATATCCGCGAACAACATCAGTTGTTCAGGGGGGATTAGAGCCTTCAGCCTCGATCTGCATAATTCTTCAGATCCTACCCAGCCACATTCAATAATTGCTAAGTGTTAATCACGTTCATTGGGTTTTCGTTTGACCTACTCAAGATATTTCATATCATGATTAAACTTCAGTTCTAGTGCACAAGTTAGAGGACCTTGATGATGCGATCACGAGTTAAAGAGAACACCATGTTGTTTGTACTAATTTTTTCGCTCACGGCTGGTTTCTACTCTGCTAAGAACAACAAATCACCAGACACCAAGGTAACTATATATCAGATATTGCCACTACACATTTTTTTTATTACAGTTAAATAACGCTAGTTTATAGAGAAAACTATTTTTGGCAGCCTGTTCAATCTTGTCCATCTTGTAATCATGGTGGACAAACCGGGATGTGGACATACATGACATGTATCCCAGGAGCCCCTGGGGCACCGGGTCGAGATGGAGCCAAAGGAGAACTGGGCAACCCGGGGAAAACTGGGACCCAGGGACCACGTGGTCCTGACGGAAAGAAAGGAGCAAAGGGAGAGCCTGGGATCCAGGGTTCCGCCGGACCAAAAGTACAGCGAGGGGACAAAGGTGACAATGGAAAGCCACGACTGGCTTCACACATGAACTGGAAGGAGTGCGCTTGGAAAAAGGAATACGGCACAGATTCAGGATTGATATATGTAAGTGCGGATCGTCACTTTGTTAACCGAGTTAAATAATACTCCGTTAGCTCAAAGCAAGTAATTTTCACTAAAACGATTGACTGCCATAATGCTTTGGTCAGCAGTCAGCGATAATGAAGGCCGCGTCTTTTGAAACTACGTAGTTTTGTGTTAAAAGTGCGGCCATTTTTAGTTTTATTATACTGTGCCTTTCTTTATTCTTAATTTCTTTGCTAACCTTATGAACATGCAGATTTTTTTTGTGTCCAAACACCTTACATTAATTAATATCGTTCAACTGATGTATTTTTTTTATAGAATGGAGTAAATACAAATACAATACAACATGGATGCTGTTTCTTTATTTCTCGTTTAGAACTGTGACTTTGTAAAGAAATACACTGACTCTTCCCTCCATGTCTACTATACTGGTAACCTCAGAGTTGGCGGATGTGACCGATGCTGTAGTCGATGGTATTTCAACTTCAATGGAGCCGAGCGCAGCTCTCCTGGAACTATTGACGGAGCATTCTACATGCATACAGGCAGAAACCACCATCTTCACCGTCACCGCCACATTGAAGGTCACTGCAATAACATTCAGAAAGGAAAGGTGCGAGTGGGATTCTGGGTTGGAAAGTGCGTCACAGGCCATAAGCTTGCTGACGCCTACACTGGTTGGCATTCAATGAATCGTATCTTCATTGAAGAAGTACCGAAAGCTCAGCAGTAAGCACGCGTCATATGATGAGCTGGACTTTTTAAAATAGAAGCGTGTTAGACTTGTGTTATGTCTTGACTGGGTAATGAGGTGTGTAGAGCAAAGTTTGCCATCAAGTCTGTACTAGCTAAAAATAAAGTCCAGGAGCATCCACTGTTGTCTTCAATTTGTTTAATGTTATACTTGCCTCACTCATTTTCTCTATTGAGTCTTAACAACACAGTAAGTTTCGTAACATTATAAGCTGCCTTTCTCTTCAACTCCCTTAACTCGTCCATCTGAACATCCGGTCATTACGTTTCGCTCTCAATTCTGAACTAAAACATTTTAGGGGTCACCACCACAATTTTATCGGGTCAATAGATGAGGTGAAATTGAAACAAAGTATCCTTGGTCATCTTTTACTTTTTTCCTCATAATTGGAACTCTAAAAAATATATGATATATCTAGCGAATTTGTCGGGGGGGAAAGAATGCCTCTTTAATTTTTCGACAGAACAATAATTTAGGTAAAGCGTCTGTTATCCACTTTTTAAATATTAAAATATTTTTGAGGCCGGTTCTGAACCGTTATTTCAGGGTTTTTTTTTTTTCAGTGCACGCTGTTCCTAGAGTCTCAAACAATTGTAACATAGCTTCTTGAAATTTCTTAAATTCAGAAACCACCTAAAGGGCAGCCCACAAAATGATGGATCCTTTCAAACAACACTCAAATGTGACCACAGCATATATCGGGTCTGGAAAAATAGGCTGTTTTCTGGCTTTATTAAACGTGTGATCGTAGCAGTTGTGATAGCAACTACAGTAGATTAAAGGAATGCAATTTCAAATGACCTATCACAACTGCGACGATCATTTTGTTCATTTTTAAAATTTTTGAACTTCTTCAATTTAAATCATCACGAAGTTATGAATATATGAAAATCAAATATGAGAGACAACTGCGGGGTGAAGAATTATATGAATTATATGATGCGATGATTTTCTTTCATATAATTCTTCACCCCGCAGTTCTCATGTACGATTTTCATATATTCATAACGTCATCATCATCCTTTCACTGGTTTATAACGAACCAATTCAACGACCTGCTTCCAGAGCGCTGCACAAGTATCACAAAGGTCAAGGGTTCGAATCCCGTACAAGCCTAATTTTTTTTTTTCAGGCTTTCTTTTTGCAACTGCATAAGTTGCGTCTATTACTGCGATAATCTTCTTTTATATAATTCAAATCATTATCTTCATTGGAATCCTTATAAGGTCCATACGCTTTCCGAAGGAGTCACCCAACAAGTATGCTCAGAAGCGTTGTCATCTATAGACTAAATGTATTTTTCGCTACGTTTTGAGCTCGCACCTCAACCTTTAATGGCGAAGTACTATTTACTGTGGAATATGTGGGTTTGGGAGAGGCAAACGCTGTGACAAAAGCAATCATGTAGATCTGTAACAGAAGCATTTAAAAGAAATAACCTTAGAGCACAAAACAATAGGACGTCGAAAGAAAATTAATGTTGACCTTACATCGTACATATTTCTATATGCCTGAATAATAATTTTGGCTCATTTGTTGATTTTTAATCTATTTCGTAGAGTAAAAAGGAAAAAAAGGAAATATGTAAAGGACATGAATAACTGAAGCGCTAACCTGTTTGTACCCCCCCCCCCCACCCCTCTCCTGCCCGCCTCCTTCAACCCCTTAGCTGTATCCTGTATAACACCATTATTAAGGACGAAGTACACTCTAGTTGCACGAAATAACCGTGCAGTTGTTAGTGGCGTATCCAGGACAAACGGCCAAGGAACTCACCACACCGCTTCGAACACATGAGCCTGAACGAGTTGGCTGCGCTTATGTAAAAGCCCAGTAGACATTAGCAACCTTGCCTAAAGCACTAAAGTGTTCTGCCATTTGAGCTATGAAGACCCATACGCAGGTCAATTTGTTGAGTTCATCTCAACCCGTTAAAGGGATGAAGAGGGATCTTCAAGTTTTAAAAGTTCTTGATCAAAACGCAATCGTCACTGAACATTATACACCATAACCATGTTGATTTGCTGGGGAGAACCATAATTTTAAAGAGTTCCCGCTCAAGTGGTAAGGATAGTCACAAATGCCACTGATTTTATTACCTTTAGATGATAAAAGACTGATTTTTTCGGAATGAATTGAAATATTTCTTGAACAGTTTGAATGCACTGCAGTCGCCGTATAAAATTCCACGAGCCTTGTTGGAAAATATGTGCCCCAAAATTTTAATCTTTGTCCCATTACCAAGATTCAACAAATAATGAATGCAACCATTGAATAAATAGCTGCGGAATGATTAAGAGAAAATTGAATTGGCCATTTCCGAGTTCCAAAAACTCTCACTTTCAAAACGAGGTTAAGTGCGAAACCTTTGTTGTGAAAATGAGATTTATTTCATCATAATTAAAAATCATTTTTACATCAATGGCTTCGCACTTAGCCTCGCTTTGAAAGTGAGTTTTTTTGGAACTCGGAAATGGCCTATTGAATCTAACTTTGAATGTTTTTTTCAGGACAGCCCTATAACATGGAATCACAGAAACAGAATCAAGGAAACTGAAAGGGAATCCGTAATCCTTGAAAGAGGCTTCTGAGGAAATATTGTTTAGAATAAAGTAGAGAAAAAGAGAAGTATATTGTAAAATAATAAAGAAATTTTCCTGGCCAGAGTTTTATATTATTATACCATGCTAAAACTGAGGCATTTTCCTTTTTCTTTTTTAAAGGTATTTCATTTACCATTAGTTAGTTCCAAACATGGGCTTAATTTTACATATTTTTAATTTAAGTATCAAAGTCATGAGTTTGAAAAGTTTGAAGTTTATATATTCATAAATACATAGCAGTTCGAGAACTGTATTGCGTATGTACGTTACATAAATAAAGTTACACAGGTCTAGCTATTAACTATTATAAAATAACTAAGATAGTACGCGCGCTCTGATTGGCCGAGGGGAGTGTTTGCATGAGAGTATGTAAACATGGTTGTGGCGTCAAGATGTTTTGCTTTTCGCGCGCTAATCATACAAGCACCAAATTTGAAAAAGTTTTCGAGTTCAAAACTCGACAAGTTTACTTTATTTGCCCATTCCGTCGTTGGCTGAAACTTAGAAAATCGTTACAAAGAAGGTGTGTCAATTTTTTTTCGCTTAAGGTGACATTTTAAGCTAGGAAAATCAGTATTTTGGGAAGCATCTTTTTGCAAAACAAGAACTGATTACGCGTGCAAGACTTCGTGGACAAGACTTTCCGACTGGTAAGAATTTCTCTTTTAATCAGTGCCATACAAAGAGTTTTGCGTTTTTTCTCGAAAAGTTATTTTATAAAAGCAATAGAAAACTTTTTCCCTGTGTTTGCATAGCCTGATGTATTAAAACACGAGAGGGGTTAGGAGAATTCTCGACGGTTATGCAAACCCTCGACTTCGTCTCGGGTTTGCATAACTGTCTCGAATTCTCCCAACCCCTCTCGTGTTTTAATATATCAGGCTATAAAAACACGGAAAACGTTTTCTATTGCTTAATTTTAATCTGTGTATTCAATTAAAAATGATAAAAATGCTCAAAAAATTATTAAAAAGAAACAAGTTAAGAAACTAATACCGTATAGTATCAATACTAATATTGATACTCTAAACTGTGTTCGCTTTAAGACATAAATAATAAAATTATTCTTAAAACGGTGTCAATCTCAATCATTGTGTCAAAAAGTGTCTCACATATTTCGTTATGATGGGTGGCTAATTCCTTAAAGGTTGACAGTAATATCGAGGGCCTCATGACAGCTATGACCAGGGAAGATGATGGCCATTGCTCTCTTCTGTACACGTTCTAATGCTTGCATTAAATATTTAGGAAAACTGTAGTGAAAGACCGGTACCTCATAGTCCATAACTGATTTATTACAACTAAAGTAAAGGATTCCTAAGTCAGTGCGACCAACCTTAGCTCTCTTGAGTTGAACCAAAAGCTTCGGGAAACGCTTCATGCAGAACAAAATTATGCTCGAAAACAGCAATGACAGTGAAAAACTCTATAAGAAACTCTCTAAAAGTTAAACAAATTAACAGCATAGTGGAAAATATGTCAATATTTTAAAGGTCCAATGTAATCTTTTCTTCAACATCATTTTCCTAGGTTTAAAAAGTAAAATCTCTCTTGTTTGACCCTAGTGAAATGCTTATTGCAAAGCACAGATATAGAGGTGAAGATTTACGGCAAAAAAAAAACACACACACACACACAGAACACAAATGGTGCCTGAACTTAGTGTTCTTATTATCTTTACCTTTGAGGAACAGTTCTGTTTTATTCTGGTTTCCATTTCCAATCCTGTTTTCATAATTCAGATTCTGGATTTGATTTGCAGATTCCACATTTTAGGGTTGCCCGACTTTTCATGGATTGAACTGAATGAACATAGCTGGACTAAATTGAATAAATACAATAAAAGAGAATTTACTAAAATGAGGACTAAATTGGCTACTGAATTATGTAAATAGTGAACACTGTTACACTTTGGCTTGTCATAGCGGTTGCAAAACTCAGTAAAGAAATGCCAGCAAGTCCATGGAAGACAATCATCAAAAATCAACAGTGAAAGCCTTTAACACCCTCAGTGAAATTGAACCAGCTGATTCAATCACTCATCATATTGAATGCAGAAAATAAAATAGGCCACTTAACGTAAACAGATGCTTCTAAGATTTCCAAGCTCCCACACTGATAAACCGCCCCCTACCCCCCCCCCCCCCAAGCCCTACGCCCACCTCCCTGTAAACAAAAAATAAATATATAAAAAGTAAAAGTATTTTGATCAGCACTGCTATACCTGTAGCTTGTTTTAAAGCTGTTTTTTTCTGTTCTAGTTACTCAGCCCTTAGAACATCACCCCTTGCAAAGATTTTTTAAGCCGAGGGCTTATAAGCTGCAGTTTACTAGCCTGTTCCAGGCATTCAGATAGTAGGGCGCGAGAGAAAAATTCACAAAAAAAAAAACGAGGGGAGACTCGCCCCCCATATTAGACCATTGAACATCGTGAAACTGAATAGACCTTGTCACGGTTTTCGACGCCATTTTGACGAGTAGGCAAGGAAATTTTGGCGCGGCTACCAAGCTTCATACAAATCTCTTAAAATTTTTGTCACGCGCCCGACTCACCGGCAATTCTCAGCGTTTTTTTCGTACTTCGTTGCACTAAGAGATTTTTCCTTTTCGGGATCTTGAAGGTAAGTAGATTTTCTAGCTCTGTGGTAAAAACTATCCCGATCGCTCATCAAATAAGTCCGTTTTGGCACAAAAAGCACAGAAGCGCGTGGATCGTACGATGCGTGCAAACAAAACAAACTTGGCATAATTTAGGTGATGATTATTAAATTGGCCTAAAAAAGGGTCTGATCATCGTGCCGTGTTTTGATTATCTTTCAGTAAAGTTTATACAAACCAAATAACGCAAAAAAAAAGTTGTTTCTCAAATCGATAGAATTCTGTATATTGAAAACTGAATAGGAATTTTTCGTTTTGTCGCTTTTGAAGTGATCTCTTGTGATGTTCCCAGCTGTTATTCTACCCTTAATGTTTCCTAATACAGCCTTTCTTTCGTCCAAGAGTATGCCAAAAGGAAAGAAACCCAAGAAAGCCCATTGCTGTGTTGGAGGATGTAATAATGATGACCGGTATCCTGATAACTATAAGTATCACTCACATGTGACAACTATGGAGTTTTTCAATTTTACCACATCTGCTTCAAAACGAGTTATATGGATAAGGAATGTTCAAAAAGGTCGACTAGACTTTTTTGATCCCAAACCTGGAACTTTCATTTGTGCAAATCATTTTAAAGATGGTAAGCCAACTCCTGAAAATCCTCATCCAACAGAATTTATGACAAAACTGTCAAATGAACATGGAAGCACACCAAAGAAAAAGAAAAAACCAGCTGAGAGGACAACTCCAGCTTCAGAGACATTTCAATCAGAAGAGGAGCTTTCTGATCTGGATTTCCATTACTTATCTGAAGGTTCTGAATCAGAGCCTGAAACTGCACATCCAGATTTTACGTTTGAAATTGTTGCGACAGAGGGAATGGTCAGTTTTTATACAGGACTTCCAGACTCGAGGACTTTTGAGTTGCTCTATGATTATCTTAGACCAAAGGCAAAAAATATGAATTACTGGAAAGGTGAAGCTCAGGTCCGAAAAGAGAGGCAAAGTAACAATGCTGCCAGGTCTCTTGCAGCTATGTTTGATGAATTTAAGAGAGCTGGTGAGGAGACACCCTCTGTAAAGAGAGGACCAAAGAGGAAGCTTCAGTTAGAAGAGGAACTTCTTTTGACTTTAATGAGGCTCAGACTTGGACTTTTTGTTGAAGATTTGGCCGTTAGATTCAAGGTTTCTCATTCCTTAGTCACTCAAATTTTTTCTACCTGGGTTAGGTTTATGTCACGAGAGCTAAACTGGATGATTATGTGGCCAAGCAGAGGACAAATTCAGTTGGAGCTTCCAGAGGCCTTTCGAAAAATCTATCCCAAAGTTCGGTGCATTATTGATTGCACTGAAGTTTTTACAGAAACCCCAAGTGCTCTTGACATCCAAGCTACACTCTGGTCTGATTATAAACATCATTCAACAATGAAGTTTCTGGTTGCAGTCACTCCAAACGGAGCACCGTGCTATGTGTCACCATGCTACGGAGGAAGGGCAACTGATAAATTTATTGTTAAAGACTGTGGTTTCTTAAATTTTGTGGAACCATATGACCAGATTATGGCTGATAGGGGTTTCAAGATAAAAGATGAACTGTTGATGCGCAATGCTTACCTTTGCATTCCACCCAGTACCAAAGCTGGTTCACAAATGGTCCCAAGAGAAGTACAGGAAACATCTAGGATAGCTAATGTTAGGATATATGTTGAGCAGGCAATTGGGCGATTGAAAAGGTTCAATATCCTCAAGAATGAACTCCCAATCAACTGTCTCCCATTATGTGATGACTTAGTGCAAGTTGTTTGTGCACTTACATGCTTACAAGACCCACCGTGTGTTTGAGTGGGTTGTGATACATGTACTGTAAAAGACACTGAGAATTAGTTCATCTTGTTTAATACCCTTGTGGTATTTTTAGTTAAAACTCGGTGACAAAGCCATACAACTTTAACAACATGGCAAGAATTAAGATACAGTAAAATCAATTTTAGGGTTAGTGTCCCTTTTCAAGGCCAAATGCAAATATGGATGCTACTGTTTTCTGCCCTCAACAGAATTAAATGACTTTTATCTTAAAGATCAAGTAAAGGTAAATCAGGGTGTGGAGTTGTTAGGCTAGTCTACTATCTAATGTGAAACATTAAGGTGAGCATCAGCCTAAAAGTCCCTGGTAACCATGAAAATGAATGCTAATAGGTCATCAAGGATCCACAAGAGAGGTTAGATCAAGCTCCCTATCCACAAAATCTAAAAGGCAAGTTGGCAAAACCACTCTTGATCATCCTCGATGTGAGTGATCTGTGCACACCCAAAATGGAACCATGCTCCACAATGGTCACAGCATATGCTATTGTCAGGGGAATTCTCTGGGAGCTCCTCTCCCTCTAAAATGACTTTCTCACATGTGGGGCAAAAATATATATTCCTCAAGCCTAATAGGACCTTGGCCATGTAAGACTTAAAAAATACATCAAGCTTTGGAATGATATTGTCCCAAAATGAATCATCAAAATGTATCAGTTCTACATGTAGTTCCTTTGTTGTCCACACAACGAAGTTCAACTTTGATAACGATTTTGCAGCCATAACACCAGTCACTTGAAAGAAATCCTTGTGACTTCTTTTCAGCTGAATCACTCCATCCCTCTGCTCCAGGAAATCTGTTTGTTCCCAGGCCTCACTGACACACAAGTCCCGAATGGAATATGGGCACTTAATTTCCAATGCAGTTGTACCACAGCGTGAACATGTCATAATCCCATCAGGACTGGCCCCAATGTAGGGTTTGTCTTTAAGAACACAAAGTCCACTCTTTGTTAACTTGCAGTTTTGGTGCTGTGAAAGAGCCCGCGCATAAAATTCATTATATGCCTCGTTTTCTTTTTCTTTGCCCCACCTGACTGATGGGACGTGGTCAATGTTCTGCGATCCAAGAACTAGTTTTGAAACGAGAGGAGTTGGTGGTTTGACAGAACCTCGAGCTTTTGCAAGGGAGTCAACTTTTCTGCATACATCTTTAAAGTTCGATGCAGTTATCCATCCTTTTCTGTGCCTGATCCAAGAAGAGTCACTTTGGCCCTTGGTTTCTCGCTCAATTTGGGAAACCTCCATTGCACTTAAGGGGATAGCTTCCAAAAATTTATTTACAATGTCCTGATCACTCTCACTACCATCTAATGATGCAGTAAAATTCTCTGCAAATTTAGTCAGTTCTAAAGGTCTGTCCATTTGATTGTGCTTTTCTGACTCTACACTTTTGAAAATTTGTGCATTGGGCCTGATCTGTTTGTACCCATCCAAGAATCCCTTTTTCTGCTCATCAGTCACATTCCTTTCCCCCTCTTTCCTTGGATCAAAATGTCTCCATTCATTTATAATAATTCCTTCATTTTCTTCATTTTCAGTTGTTCTCTTGTCTTTTCTGATTCGCATGTCCATTATCTTTCCTGGCTGCACATCTCTCCTGGTTGATACATTCCATCCGCAAGGGACTGATGTACATGATGGATCTGTATAACCATGGGTGAATGCATATTCCATCTTGTAAAGCGATGCAATTATGTGGCTGCATGTTGCACTCGTGCCAGCAATGCATGTGCACCAACCACACAAGACAGTTCCATCTTTCTTGAGGGCTACCCAGACTTCTCTTGGGTCCTCTATGATGCGCTGCGATGGAGTTACCTTGCATTGCAACACACACTTTCCATCCTTGTTGTCTGCATAGAGGATGGTACCCACAAAGTTACTTTTCCAGTAGGAATAAGCTTTTTCATCCTTATATTTCCCAATGTAATCTGAGTCAAACTCTTCGTTTGACAGAATATAAGCAAATATCTTGCCAAGGTCGACTGGTGGCCATTTTGTCATGTCATCCACCCATGTAGTGTCACTGGATTTAGGATCTGATAGATCGTACTTGCGTAGTCTGTCCTGGAATTCCCTTTGCAAACTGGCCAAGTGTTGCTCTTGGGAAACTTGGACTGGAAGCTTCATTTCAAAGGCAGAAAAAGCTCTTGCGACTACTTCTACCTTCCGGCCAGTTGTCGACAATCCCCTTAAACTTAGATAGTCCTTGAGGTTTCCCATGGACAAATCCAGAAAATCTTCATACACTTCCATCTGAATGAAGCATTGAACGCAATTAGGACAATGTTTATAGCACAGTAAAACACGATCCACGAACTACAACCTGACTATGACATCAGAGTTAATCACTTTAAGTTAAAAAATATATATTTAAAACGCAATGAGATGCGATTTTCTAAGGCACTAAATTGATTTCAGTGACTTTTCAGAAAAGCTTAGAGGGGACCTTTGTATCGATAGACGAAATAAATGTGTTTTTAGTCGATCTTGAAAAGCCTACATTATGCCATGTTTGTTTTGTTTTGCACGCATCGTACGATCCACGCGCTTCTGTACTTTTTGTGCCAAAACGGACTTATTTGATGAGCGATCGGAATAGTTTTTACCACAGAGCTAGAAAATCTACTTACCTTCAAGATCCCGAAAAGGAAAAATCTCTTAGTGCGACAAAGTACGAAAAAAACGCTGAGAATTGCCGGTGAGTCGGGCGCGTGACAAAAATTTTAAGAGATTTGTATGAAGCTTGGTAGCCGCGCCAAAATTTCCTTGCCTACTCGTCAAAATGGCGTCGAAAACCGTGACAAGGTCTATTGAGTCCGACTAATTAAGTTCGACGTCTGAATCAACCATCGAACTTATTTCATTATATTTGGGTCGACCTAAATAGGTACATGAAAAGATCGACGTTTGAACTGGACCTAAGTGTACATGTATTTATGCACTATATTTCATTATAAAATGCATTTACATGTAAGTCAACAAAGCTAAATTCTGACACGGCAAATTAACAGACGGTCAATGTCCCCATTTTGCTGTCCAAAATGTACGAGCATACCTAAATGTGCAAGTTTTTTCTTTTTTCATTATGAATGTTCTCTTCAAAATATTACTCACATGTATTGGGCTAACCACCTTCCCTTCCGTTCCTGTTAAAGAGCAGGTAGTAAAATATGCAGCATAGTGTGTAGTTTTGTTTTCTTTTGTAGCGGGGAAGCATGAGCCTCCACTAGAACTAGAACGAGAGTCGGAATCCTTCTTCATAATTTGGGAAATTCCAGTCCACTTTGAAGATGTTTTCAAATCATTATGGACATCAATACCACCAGAACACCTTCCAAAGGTATTACAACGTTTTCTGGCCAATGCAACATTGATGAAAATGTCGAATACGCTTCACATTGAAGTGCCGACCGCGATTTTTGAACAAGTTGAAATCAGTCAGGCGCAGAGGGGACACTGGGACCAAGTATCAAGAACTCTTTCCCAGGGTCTTTCCCAGGTGTTCCATAGGGAAACCACACAATCTGTTTTTGAACAGCAAGTGATTTTTTCATGATTGCTGTTTGTGTAACCGATGTAATGTTATGGTAAATGTACTGTATTTATTGTTTGATTCGTCTGTAGCGGTACATTGTCCTCCTTTTGCCTCAGAAGAGGTGTTTTGAGCAAACTTAAGCTGAGAAAAGAAACTGGAGTCTAGTTTCCCGTTTTTTTCCTGTACCCTTTACGAGAAATAAGGTACTTTACTATCTAATAAAATGTTTTGAAATCAACGTTTTGATCCATTTAGTTTGGATCGATATAACAAAATAAACCCGTTTAGGCGATTAGAGAGTAGAAAAAGATTCCTGAAGGAAAGACTTAGTTACTACAGTTTCAAGTTGCTTACTACACTGCAGTCAGAGGACTGATCAGAAGAAGTTAGGCACAGTCCGGTTTCGGTAGAATTACAAACTTATATTAAACTAACAATATATTTAACTGATTTGCTCCTCTTTGACAATCACCGCCGAAAAAAAAATTATACATTTGAAGGAGTTTGCAGTATTCCGCTTTGACCATGTCCGTGAAATATAAAAGAGATAATAGAGAGTTTTAAAAAACTTGAAATCGTCAAATCAGTAAATTGTTCTTCCGCGTTCATCCTGGAAATGTCACTGATGCCGCTCCTTGTCATCCCGCTCTCTAAATACCCTTTAATAAAGAAACAGTATTTGTCGAAACTTATCCCTTAAAGCGCATTCAGGAAGATGTCTTGATATCGGTTGCTTTGGTTCAAGATATCAGATTTGACTCCAATGTCCAAATGTTGACGTGTGTCTATTAATTCGTTCAGGGCAATGTGATCTTGAGCCTTTGATCATAAGGCGCACAGCTAACAACAGCTTTCTTGATTTTCAGCAGAGTTTTAGCTTTACTACTCTCCTCGTCGAAAACTTGTACTCATTTTTCCACCAAACGAAACAGGACTAATCTATTTATGTCTCTAAACCTGGCATCAACGATGATAATTCTTCGTCAAACAGTAGCGCCTAAGAATGATCCAGATTTCACTCTAGACAATCAAAATTCCCATGCTACCATTACATATACAAGCTCTGCCATACACGTACTAGTGAAGGGATGTTACAGCGAATACTTGAAGTTAAATTTACACAACTTCTACAAATGTCGCTATACAGATGTACTCATCGAGAAAATGTTTTTTTTTTTTACTTTAACTGAAAGAAAAAACGTTTAAAAATCCAAATCACTGATCCACATTTTTAACACGTGTTGTTTGCGCATTTTCTGCTTTGCGTGACCCATTTCTACCACAAGAGCAAAGAATCGAACTTTTAATGTTTTGTTACTAATACTTATTATCCATTAGAATTAGGAACTGAAATAATTGAATTTGATGACCAGGGACGGATCTTTGAAGCTCATAGACGGAAATTTGTCAAGAATCAAATAAAGCCCAAATAAAGGACAAGTTTCGAAGTTTAAAGATGGGCTCTACTGAAAGAATTCTTCCGCCTAGTACTGATAGAAATATAAAAAGTCTTGAACACTTCACTGAAAATTAAAACTTGGCGATCGATTTTTGAAGCAGATGTCAGTCAATAACGGAAATGTAAGAAATAAGGACAAATGAACGCGTTTAAGTTTAGAATTGGTAATAAAGACTCCCTCGATATACGTGAAACTTTTGAGACACTAGAAGGCCGCCGGTATATGACTGGCCTGTTTTTATTAACTAATCAAACGTCGATTTCCATAATCATGTTAACGAATATCCACATTTAGATTTGCCTTGTCTTTAAAAAAAGCCAAGGCTCACCAATGAATGCAGTGGAGTAGTCACTTACAAAACAATGTTATTATTGATTCGTAAACAGAGTAGATACCAGAATCTGAATGAATGAATGATACTAAATAGCGTAGGATTGATGATATTAAACAATTCAAATTTTAAATTTGCGAACAATGCTTCACTGTTTAGTAAATTTCCCTGAACACAAGAAATACAAACAAAAGTGGCATTTCTGTTTGCTAAGAGGATGAGCTTCATTTAAAAAAGTTTCATTGATGAACAATAAGCTAACAATAGCCACTATAGTTTAAGATATCGAATATTAATCAAGGTAAACTGGACAAAACAAGAACAAATTAAGAAAACTCCACTGAAAATTTTGGATGAATGAAAGAATTATTTTCTATGGGATATTGCGGTTTATACTGTCAAAAAAGACGACTAACATCAACTTTACAGGTAAGAACATTTTTTTTTTTGACAAAACTAATACCTTTATCATCTTTGCCGTTCTAATTTTATTCAACAATGTACCGTAAAGCGAAATTCAAATTATCATTTTATTTACATGTACTTACCATTCGGGGTGAACTGTAAAATGTTTTTATATTTTATGTCGAATCGGTTACGTTTTTCTAGTTTGGTCGCAAATACATTAACCAGATTCCCGTTAATATTGTTACAGCTGTATTAAACAAGCTAAGAGTTCCTATACATAACTCAGTAAATCGTCTGTGAATATTCAATGTTTCGTGGAATCCCAAGGCGATTTCCATAATAGTTTTGGTTTCAGTGTACTCACCAATTTACTGTAATTTTATGCTTCCAAATTATTTGGAAGCATAAAAGGACAGTAAATTTCAGCCTACGAGTCACGGTTTCAAATTTACCGGTGAAAAAAATTTACCGGTGAAAGCACTTTCACAGCTCGAAATCAGTATACACTGATGAAATTGTCTAGATATTTCTGTCAGTAATTGTTAGATTGAATTTACAAAGCAATTTTCGAGCTCATTATTTTTTAGGCTACAAAATTCAAAAACATAGCTTTCCCACTAGAAGTTTGAAAATTTCGGTCTGTTATGCGTATTAGCTTTCAATGAACAGCTCCTTACTTTAGGACACAATTTCTGGAAGAAAATACAGACAGACTGAGATATTTTTTTTCGTTGTGCTAAAGCTCTCACAATTGTTTACCTGTAGAACTTAATATTAAACAATTAAGAGTGAAATACTATTACAAAGCTAACTCATACAGTTGATTCAATAAGACGAACAATGAATAGGCAACTAAATGAAGTCATTTTCCAAATCCAAAACTAAGGCTTTCATTCATGATTTCAAACGGTAAGCGAGAAATTAACAGTAGTCAATATATCCAGTGCCGAAGAATGATTCTGCTAACAGTAAGGCAAAAGAAGAACATGTTTAGTATGGTTGTCCCAAGCGAACATGGAATTTTCTGAGGATCGGAGAAAAGTTCCAGTTTTTCACCATTTATAAAAGAACAGTGAATAGGCGAAAAAAGAATCCCAAACTCAAATCTGATCTATAGGATCGTTTGGAACTTTCTGCTTTGGAATCATCTCATCTTACATGTATATTAGTAACATGTATATCTACTCTAGCTTCAGTATGGATAATCCTTTCCACAAATTTTGTTCAATTTTTGTTTGCTAGATACATGTATGACCATGGACAGTAGAGGTTTACGAGTAATGCTAAATGACACACATCTCAAACATCGAGGACTATTCGGTAGGGCAGGTGAGAATCACCGCCGCCGTATCGAGTCAGAGCCGTCTGTGCGAACTTGAGTCATAAAATTATAGTTTTGAAAGGATAATAAACTCTGCGGCCCAACAAAACCAACAGTATCGTTAATCAGGCAAACGGTTATAATGGTGATCGTGAATGATAAATTCGAAATAGTAAATTTAAAGAAAATTGATATCTACAATTACTGATTATTAACACGGCCAATAAAATAATTGATATCTACAACTACTAATTATTAACACGACCAATAAAATAATAATAAAAAATGCGTTCAACACAGCGACATATATAAGCTCCGTAATCAAAAGTGACGTGTAGAGTAATACAGCGATTTGAAACTAAGCTTTATTCATTTTTACAGTTCGACAAGCTTGTTAATTTATCGAACTACAAAACCAAAATCGACTTTTTTGTTAAATCATTTGTCGTATGCTTACAAAGGAAATTTAATTAATATTTTCCACAAACTATAATGGTTCTTTACACAGAGGGGCACCAAACGACGATTTCCTCCTAAATCCATTGAGACTGAAAACTTTTTAGGCTATCCAGAGTACTGCATTCTATGCAGGGCTACGAAAGTTTGTGTATCTGTTCGCTCATCGTATGGGAACTTGAACCTTTTTAAAATTACAAGGGCTTCAGTATTATTTTCCCAAAAATTTTAGAGGCAGTTTAACGCATTGACCGAAATGATAATTTTTCTGATTCCTCTCTCCATCACATTTTCTAATCCGAAAGTTTTAGGTTTCCTTTTTTCTACGAAAAAAAGTCCTAACCTAGGAAGTGAAATGTGAAAAAATAAACTTCAAAAAAGCCGTAGGGAATTTATTAGATAAGCTTCGAAAATTGTGCATGAATGCAACGTTCACTTATAAATTTTTAGCCGTCCTAAAGTAACAGAACATTCTAGACAATATTTCCTTCTCCGAACAGATACTTTAAAGAAAACAGTCGTTGGGTGCACCTGTTTAGATCACACTCTTCGTAAAGAAAAAGCCGCTCTTGTTTCTTAACTGACCATAAAGTTGTTCAAAGACAAGCAAAAACTAACAGAATACTTGAGTTAAGGATTTTGAAAATACAGAAACTGTTTGTTTTCTGAGGGGACCGCTATATTATTTAGTGCGTCTAAAGAAATAAAAAAGTCAAGCATGAACCGCGGTGCTTAACAAATGGTGAATCATCGAGCGACTGTGTAAGATCACTAAAGTTAACTGATTACACTAAGATTAATTACTGGATGGAATAAGAACGGACCAGAATGGATAATGGCTACTAAGAAGGAAAATGAGTACAACAATTTACCACTCTTTCAATTCGAGGTCAGTTTAGGGAAATAATTTCTATAAGAGTGATATCATCTAGCGATATCCCAGACTGCAACTTTTCTTTCAATTGTACAGTTATACTTTGGGTTATATATGAATAATCGCACTTGGATTAAAAAAAAATCCAAGTACAACATCAATTTATTTCTAGTAAAAGTTGTACACTGTAGGTTAAAATGATGTTGTAAGAAACAAATGTGTACAGTAGTTCAAAAATTATGAAAAGAGGCCTTTCGTCGGGTGAATTGGTTACTTAGCAACCTAATATTTCCGCAGGCAAATGAATTTGTTTAATGGAAATTAGAATACATACGTAGGCTGTTTAGTGAGCATGTTTTGACGCCGAGAAACGTATTCAAACAAGAAAATTCTATGATTCAATCCCTAGCAGAGTGTTGGTATGTACAGTGCTCGAAGCCTTCTTGTTTTTCTCTAGCTTTATTTAAATTATGCTTTTGATTCAATGTTTCTTTATTTCTTCTTTCTTCCAGTTCTCATAACCTTCATGAAGACAGATCACCAGATGAGGAATGAAAACATATGGCAAACAAGGTAAATCATATATGCGCCACGCTTTCTATATCACCTTCGGCCCATAGTAATTTGTCATGGATCAGATTAGGAATGACTTTTCAATGTATAATGCACAGAACAATTTAAGCGGGTAAAATGTTAATAAGCAGTATTTAACAATCATTTACCATGGTAAAAAAAAAGGATTTTCAGAGTCCAATGATAGTATCAAACATGATTCATGTTAAGCGTCTTTATCAAACAATTCTGATTATAGTTCAGAATCATTTCAACTTTGCTTATTTGGATATACTGTTGTGTTGACTTCCGCAGAGAGAATTTTCAAGCTTGGATGTGGATAAATTCTGTGCTTTATTCTAGATACGGAAATGACCGACGGAAGAACTTGTAATAATTATTGTAATTTCTTTTGTCCTGTTTTTCAGTAACTTCTAATAACTTGTACTTCGCTTGGGTTTACAGTAATATAGTATAAAAATACCCTAATTTAGACAACGACAGATTATGCTAAGATTCAGTCTTGCAAATTGTTCTCGGTTTAATTTTTCTGCCAATGCACCAAAAGGTGATGAGGTGACGGCCATCCTTGTGAAGGTATAACACCGGTACAAAATATATACCCGGCTGTTAAAGGACAAAATTGAGCTATACCAAGAGATAGATCTTACACTTAAAAAAATATATATATATAAAATATAATAAATGATGTTGTGGTTGGTAGATTCTCGACCATGAAACAAAAGCATGATTTGCATGCACAGGAACTCAGTTCCTGAAAAACACAAAACAAGAATTTCTCACGTAAAGGCAAAAGAACCAATCAAAATGCTCGACGTCTTTTAGACGTGAGATGTAATGATTGGGGGATCGGATTTCGTTAAAACTTGTTTTAAAAACATGAAAAGGTAAGTAATTATTGCAAGAGCGGAAATAAATTAACCCGTAACGATAATCATTGCTATCATTTGGCTTTGGCAATCGTAAAACGAAGGTAAGTTAACTTCAAAAGACGCTGTAACAGTCATCGAGATTCCATTGCATTTAAGCGGTACATTCATTCCAAGGCATATCTTAAACATAAAGTATATTATTATTCATTCAAAATATCCTTGAGTTCTGAACAAGATTACCTCATGGTAGACTTTTTCAAACCTTTGGCCAATTTCTCGGTACGGTTTCAAAAACAGATGTTTGTCCGTTGCAGATACTCCTCAGAAAGTACATAAAATTCATCAAGCGATATGTTTAGCGCATTCTTGTATTACTTCTGTTCACTGAGATTTAGTTAGAAATCAGCTATTTCGTCCCTGGTTAGCCGTAAACGCCATTTGTTTTAGTTCACTCGTGAAAAAACAGCTTGGCAGCTTGGCAATGATGGTCTAGTCCTAGAAGCCTTTATTCCAATATACAAAATATGGTAAGCGCGAGATGGTTATGAAGAATTGGGGGGGGGGGGGAGCAGGGGGATTGGAGCCTTCATCCCGGGTTGATAACACCCTCCTCGATCTACAAAATTTTCAAATCCCTCCCCACCCACATCAAAAAATTCTTAATTTTTAATCATGTTCATTGTGTTTCTTTTTGTCTTCCTTAAATATTTTTCATTGTGTTGTCGTTTGACCTACTTAAGATATTTCATATCATGATCAAACTTCAGTTCTAGTGAACAAGTTAGAGGACCTTGATGATGCGATCACGAGTTAAAGAGAACACCATGTTGTTTGTACTGATTTTTTCGCTCAGGGCTGGTTTCTGCTCTGCTAAGGACAACAAACCACCAGACACCAAGGTAACTATATATATCAGATATTGCCAGGACACATGTTTTTATTACAGTTAAATAACGTTAGTTTATAGAGGAAACCAGGAATGATGTATTATATGTTAATTTAACTAAATCAGTCTGAAGGTTGATTAAGAAGACTACCAAATTCAAACAAAAAATTAAGATGGTATGGTTACTTGTACAACCTCGATCACTATTTTGAGAAGAAAGACAACATTTTAACGTTTTAAAGAATCAAAATTAACATTTTTACCAAAACAGCTTCTTTACTGGAAAATAGATTTCTTTTTCCAAAATCCCAATTGGCGATTACATTGAAAAACCCCAATGAAAACTTGGAAAATTAAGGAACTGCTTCCTGGCCTGGATTGAAATGCTAGAGTACAGGTGAAATTGCGAAGCGCTACTAGCAGTTTGTCACTGACTTTTTCTCTCTTTGGCAGCCTGTTCAATCTTGTCCATCTTGTAATAATGGTGGACAAACCGGGATGTGGACATACATGACATGTATCCCAGGAGCCCCTGGGGCACCTGGTCAAGATGGAGTCAAAGGAGACCTGGGCAGCCCGGGGAAAACTGGGACCCAGGGACCACGTGGTGCTGACGGAAAGAAAGGAGCAAAGGGAGAGACTGGGATCCAGGGTGCCGCCGGACAAAAAGGGGAGCGAGGGGATAAAGGCGACAGTGGAACGCCACGACTGGCTTCACATTTGAACTGGAAGGAGTGCGCTTGGAAAAAGGGACACGGCACAGATTCAGGACTGATATATGTAAGTGCGGATCGTCACTTTGTTAACCAAGTTAAATAATATTCTATTAGCTCAAAGCAATTAATTTTTACTGAAATGATTGATTGCTATAATTCTTTGGTCAGCGCGCGGTTAGCGATGGTGATGGCTGCGTCTTTTGAAGCTACGTGGTTTTGTGTTAAGGCCGGGCGATAATCGGTTTTATTACACTGTGTTCTTCTCTATTATTAATTTTTTCGCTAATTTTTGTCGAAACACCTTGAATTAATTAATATTGTACAACTGATGTCTTATTTTTTTGTAGACTGGAGTAAACAAAAATGAAATACAATACGGATGCTGCTTCTTTATATCTCTTTTAGAACTGTGACTTTGTGAAGAAATACGCGGACACTTCCCTCCATGTCTACTATGCTGGTATTCTCAGGGTTGCCTTTTGTGACGGCTGCTGTAGTCGCTGGTATTTCACCTTCAATGGAGCCGAGTGCAGCTCTCCTGGAACTATTGACGGTGCATTCTACATGCGAACAGGCAGAAATCACGATCTTCACCGTCACCGCCACATTGAAGGTCACTGCAATAACATTCAGAAAGGAAAGGTGCGAGTGGGATTCTTGGTTGGAAAATGCGTTACAGGACATAAGCTTGCTGACGCCCACACTGGTTGGCATTCAATTAATCGTATCTTCATTGAAGAAGTACCGAAATCTCAGCAGTAAGCACGTGTCATATGATGCCGAGCTGGACTTTTTAAAATAGAAGCGTGTTAGACTTGTGTTATGTCTTGACATGGGTAATGAGGTGTGTAAAGCAAAGTTTGTTATCAAGTCTGTATCAGCTAGAAATAAAGTCCAGGAGCATCCACTGTTATTTTCAATTGGTTTAATGTCATAATTGCCTCACTCATTTTCCCTAATGAGTCTTAACAACACAGTACCTTTAGTGGGATTATAAACTGCCTTTCTCTTTAACTACCCTAATTCGTCCATCTGAACATTCCATTAAGTTTCGCTTTTGATTCTGAACTAAAGCCTTTAAAGGGTCACCACCACCATTATATCGGGTCAATAGATGAGGTGAAATTGAAACTAAGTATCCTTGGTCATCTTTTACTTCTTTTCTCATACTTGGAACTCTAAAAAATATACATAGTATATCTGGCGATTTTTTCATGGGAAAAACGACAAAGTATGATTATCATTTTTCCCACTTTAATTTTTCGACAGTACAATGATTTAGGTAAAGGTATCCACTTTAATATTTTTTAGGCCGGTTCTGAGACGTTATTTTAGGGTTTTCTTTCTTTTCAATGCAAGCTGTTACAAGAGTCCCAAACAATTGTAACATAGCTCCTTGCTATTTCATATAAAGGGCAGCCCACAAAATGATGGATCCTTTCAAACAACACTCAAATGTGAACACAGCATATTTTAGGCCTGGAAAAATAAATGCTGTTATCCTGGCTTTATTGAAGGTACAATCGTAGCAGTTGTGATAGCAACTACAGTAGATTAAAGCAATACAATTTCAAATGAACTATCACAACTGCTACGATCATTATGTTAATTTTTGAAATTTTTGTACTTCCTCAATTTAAATCATCATGAAGTGATGAATATATGGAAATCATATAATTTATGAGAACTGCGGGGTGAAGAATTATTTAACAATTATTGGACGAGGTTGAGCAAAATATCGTGATTTGTCTGGGCTTCGGCAAATAATTGATCTGCGAGACACACTGACAAATCACGATATTTTGCGGTAAACGAGTTCAATAATTGTTTTATCATTCGATCACCGAGTTTGTTTTTTTAATGAATATCCTTGGGAATCGAAGCGATCTGCCATTTTCACGCAAGAGTGATCGCAAGAAGGAGAAAAGCAAGGTTTCCTTCACGCATAAGCAGAATATTATTTGCAGCCAAACACCGTTGGACGGCATTGCACATAAGCAGACCATTATTTGTAGGCCGTTACTTGCAGGTCACGTGGTGGGCTGTCGGCCAATGAAAAGAAAGAAAAATTTGCTTCGAATGATAATATGAATTATATGATGCGATGATCTTCTTTCATACATTGTATGTAATTCTTCACCCCGCATTTCTCATATATGATTTTCATATTTTCATAACGTCATCACCATCCTTTCACGAGTTTATAACGAACCAATTCAACGACCTGCTCCCACTTGGCTTGTAAGCTCAATAGGTAGAGCGCTGCACCAGTATCGCAGAGGTCAAGGGTTCGAGTCCGGTACAAGCCTGATTGTTTTTCAGGCTTTCTTTTCGAAACTGCAAAAGTTACGTCTATAACTGCGATGATCTTTTTTCATATAATTCAAATCATTATCTTCATTAGCCTCCTAATAAGGTCCATACGCTTTCCGAAGGAGTCACTCAAGAAGTATGCTCAGAAGCGTTGTCATCTATAACAGGAGGGCATTTTCTCCGGGTACTCCGGTTTTCCCCTCTCCTCAAAAACCAACATTTCCAAATTCCAATTCGACCAGGAATCAGGTAGACGAAGAACCACTATATGGATGTGCTACCTGCAAATCGTTATTTATTTATTTATTTATTTATTTATCCGCAGAACGACGATAGCGTGGGTGCATCAAATCTGATGGCGGGAAATCAAAAACTCGCGCTTAAAGTTAAAGTCCTTTTAAAAGCCATTTCGTTGGTGCTTTGAATACCGTACTTCCCTATAAAAAAATTATCCTTGACAAAAATCGGACGTTTTCTACGCGGGGTTTCAGGTTTAGATTTTTTAGGGTAGGTTTTTTGGACCTTTAAAGACTTAAAATACTCAATCGATACTCAACATCAAAACTCACTGTACCTGTTAGTGTATCAGATCTGAGTTCCACTGGCAAAACAATGCTTTTCAATGGTTTGATTTCCAAACTCATGGTTTTACTTATCAACGAAGACATGCATCGTAGCTATGTTCAGCTACTTTAAGAAAAGCGAAAAAAAATTTACTACGTGAGGTTTACTTATTAGCGCGATGTGTCATGTTAAACTGATCGCGGAGACACGCGTTTATATATGCCACTAAAACATGAAATCTATGGGTATTTTTTTACATTTTTTCGACAGTTTTCGAGGAAAAATACATAAAAAAATATTCTACAGGAAATGAAGAATGGATTGAGTCTGAGACAGCAACAATTACAAGTGATTATGTACTACATTATCACTTGAGCATTTCATAAGCTCACTTGCAGACAAAACAAATGCACCCCGCAAAAACGAACGATACTTTTATTCATCTTTAACTCTAAAAGATACAGAGATTTTTCCTAAGCAACTATTTTGAAGCAACTCTTGAGTAACGGCTACCGTGTTCCACAATCGATTTCTAATTATTAATTTATATTTGATCTGACGGTAGTGATGCATTCAAAACAGAGAATGGGCATCACTCCATAAATCTTACTGACGATGTTTGTTCACCTTCAAATCCTGTTAAAACATAAGACACGGGAAGTTTGTTAGAGGGGTGCATATAATGCTGTGTCCTCAAAAGAGAGGCTACTGCTGAAGGACCCAAATGAATTGGGATGCGACAGCAAACATGACACAAATGGATGGGTGAATTTGTCTGTTTTACAGTATCCAGATGAACCTACATAGAACCTTAAGGGAAGAATTATCAAGCAGATACTGATGCATTAAACAAGAATTTGGTTCAATACAGAGGAGAATCTGGTCTCACTAAACATCCTTTGTGAATGAATCGAAATGTTTCACAAATTAGCCTATCAACAAAGTAGTATCCACAAAATGGTATTATTTACGAATAAATGCAATTTTTTTGTAACAAAGCCAGGATTTATTTAAAAGGTGTATTTATCAAGTTTTATTTCGTGCTATTTTGGGGTTGGGGAGTTAGGCTAGATTTTCTTTAAGATGCTTAAATTTTATATTTATTTGCATAATGAAATGTAAACAAGCAGTGTGCCATCAAAATAAGGTGGAAAAAATCAGACTCCATACCGATTGCTGTAATTTTTTTCCTGTGTACAACTAAATAGTAGAATTTTCTTATTTTCAAAACACAATCTTACTGGCATCATTATATTGAATTTTATTATATAAACTGCAGTGTTTTACAAGGATTTCTACCACCGAGAAATGTGGTATCTGAACACACGTAAAAATACGATATTTTTACATGTGAAGATATCGATAATTTCACTGACATCAGGTTTGTCTTATGTTTATATAATAAACAGAATAATACATGGACGCTTGGAGATATGGAATTTATCTTCTCGTGTTCACATTCGATATCTCACTCGTTCGCTGCGCTCACTAGTTCGATATCGATGTGAACACTCGAAGATAAATTCCATATCTCCGCGCGACCATGTATTATTCTCTATATATTTTTAGTTAAATTGCGAGTATTTTATTTCAAAAGTAGGTTGGCTGCTGGGTTCAAACCTTTCACAGTATTTTATTTGTCAACGAAGACGTAACGGTGAAGAAAGCTAATAAAGTTACTGCAGAAGGTGATTTTTCACAGCCTCCATTAAGGCACCATTCATTCGCGGAAGTATTCTTAGTTTCATTTATCATTAACTTAATGTGGGGAGAAAGGCAAGATTTTGAGATAAACAAGCCAGCGAAAGGGTGAAATGCAGTTTCACTGCAAAATGGACACTTAATTAGCCACCGTATTCCTGAAACGAATAAGCTCGATTTTAGAGTTATACTGTTAAGAAGAATTAAATATCTATAGGATAATTGTTTGGCGAAAAATTATTATACTAACCTTTTCATGCTGCTCAAAAAATGTGCGCAAAATGTAAGGTCGTAACAACATTCAGTCGCTATCTTGTCTTCGATGTGCTATTTTACGAAAGGAAAGACTGTCCTCTCCAGGGTGACAGTGAGGCTACAATAAACTCACTTTCAACGTAGAAATGCCTCGATACCTTAAAGAACACGTTTGTAGAACGTAGCACCCCATATATGTGTCATTCAGCTCCAAAAAACAGCCTGCAAATACTGGTATTGAACGTAAATAATTCACGGAAAATGTCTGATGCACTTCAACAGACCATACTGACGCATGCGCCTACAAAATGCCCAAAATGTATTCTTCGCTCCGTTTTGAGCACTCACCTCAACCTTAAATGGCGAAGTACTATGCACTGCGGAATATGTGGGTTTGGGAGGGGCAACACCGTTGACAAAAGCAAATATGTAGATCTGTAAGAGCACTGAGATATAGCCTTAAAACACAAAACAATAGGACGTCGAAAGAAAATTAAAGGTCAAATGAACCAAATTTTTAAAACTAAACTAGTGAGCAGCACTCTGCGAACTGTTGCTGTAAAACTTGTTTATTCTCCTACGCGTTTCGTCTAACTAACGTAGACTTCTTCAGGGAGTTTTACAATCAAATACTAAACGCCTGTATTTAAGCTCAAAGAACTGTAACGGCCAACGCATGAGAGTGAACAACCTTGTGCGCTTTTAAGTTTTTAAGTTTTAAAAACTTTCTCCGAACTTTAGAACGCCAGCAAGCCTACTCGATAAGAAAAGCTTACTCAAGTAATAATAGTAAGAGTTTTTTTCCTTTAGTTTTTTCAGTTTCAATTACGTAGTTTTGTTATCTTTCTGTACGCAAATTTTCCTTTCACTCGCTGTGAAGTAGCGGAGAACGACAACTGCCAGCAGTGACTCCAAAACAATCGACTCTTTGCCCGTAAACGATTGCTGGAGCTGGATTTGACTGAAGCGAGCAAAACAAGTCCTTATGTGCAGTTTACTGTATTTTCTAATGATTAAGTTTGCTGAGTTTAATTTTCTTGAATGAAGACCCTCGCATGGACCAGTTAAAAGTAGTCGGAATCATGGCTCGGCTGCGAAGCTTGCAACTGATCTTTTGCTTTCAAGATCTTTAGGTAGGTTGTTTCCGTACAGAAAATTCACTTCTTCTTTGTCAGCAGGTATAAGAGCCTTAAGCCTTACGTTTTTTAAATTAAAATTTGTTGTTTTGCAACCTTNGGTATTGAACGTAAATAATTCACGGAAAATGTCTGATGCACTTCAACAGACCATACTGACGCATGCGCCTACAAAATGCCCAAAATGTATTCTTCGCTCCGTTTTGAGCACTCACCTCAACCTTAAATGGCGAAGTACTATGCACTGCGGAATATGTGGGTTTGGGAGGGGCAACACCGTTGACAAAAGCAAATATGTAGATCTGTAAGAGCACTGAGATATAGCCTTAAAACACAAAACAATAGGACGTCGAAAGAAAATTAAAGGTCAAATGAACCAAATTTTTAAAACTAAACTAGTGAGCAGCACTCTGCGAACTGTTGCTGTAAAACTTGTTTATTCTCCTACGCGTTTCGTCTAACTAACGTAGACTTCTTCAGGGAGTTTTACAATCAAATACTAAACGCCTGTATTTAAGCTCAAAGAACTGTAACGGCCAACGCATGAGAGTGAACAACCTTGTGCGCTTTTAAGTTTTTAAGTTTTAAAAACTTTCTCCGAACTTTAGAACGCCAGCAAGCCTACTCGATAAGAAAAGCTTACTCAAGTAATAATAGTAAGAGTTTTTTTCCTTTAGTTTTTTCAGTTTCAATTACGTAGTTTTGTTATCTTTCTGTACGCAAATTTTCCTTTCACTCGCTGTGAAGTAGCGGAGAACGACAACTGCCAGCAGTGACTCCAAAACAATCGACTCTTTGCCCGTAAACGATTGCTGGAGCTGGATTTGACTGAAGCGAGCAAAACAAGTCCTTATGTGCAGTTTACTGTATTTTCTAATGATTAAGTTTGCTGAGTTTAATTTTCTTGAATGAAGACCCTCGCATGGACCAGTTAAAAGTAGTCGGAATCATGGCTCGGCTGCGAAGCTTGCAACTGATCTTTTGCTTTCAAGATCTTTAGGTAGGTTGTTTCCGTACAGAAAATTCACTTCTTCTTTGTCAGCAGGTATAAGAGCCTTAAGCCTTACGTTTTTTAAATTAAAATTTGTTGTTTTGCAACCTTATTGAAGCTTTTTTTTAGTTCACTTAAGCTGGATGCATGATGGAATTGTTCTTTGCTTGTCGTATCTCTTTGCCAGCTTAAAGTGGAGTCTATGGTCCTTAAAGTGACCTCAATCGATAATTAAATCTTATACATAATTGGAAAGAAGTTTTTGCTATAATGTAACTTTAACTTTTTTTGAAGGAAATCTTACTTACGCGTAGGTTTTTGACAGGTGTTATGCATGTTCAACTTGACAAAGCAAAATTAATCTGCGCGAAACGATCAAGTTTAAAAAACTATGGTTGCTTTGAAACCGGTCTTGGGGAAGATTTACTAGATAAAGGTTAACTCTTTTTCTGCCCACATATCAACGTCAAAACCTCCACATTGAGGATTTTGTTTATGTTTTATTGATCTGCGAAGCTAGAAGTGCCCGATCGAGCGTGAATTTTAAAATATCAGCTCGAGAGCGACAAAGTTCAGTGACTTCAAACACATTGTGGGTAAACTTGAATTTCTTTGGGCAGATTATTATACAAAGATATTTCCGGACCTAATATATCCAGGAACTTATTCCTTATATGAGTAGTTATAGAAATGGTTGTCCTAGCTCACTTTTCGAATTTCCAAAAAAGTATTTCTTACTCAAATAAAATTCCTGAATATGCAAAAAATTTCAAAAAAGAATGGCTTTATATAAGAGGTATTAATAAGGAATGTGAAAGATTTGTAAAGAAATTTGAAGATGAAGATGAAAAAATATTTAGTTCGTCTTATGCTAAAAAAATGATTTATTTTTTTAAGAGATTTGTAAAGTGTCAGGAGAGAGGTAAAATTAAAGATATTAGTCATTTACATTTAAAAGAAGAAGATGTTAAATTTATAGATTGGTTAGAAATAGAGTTAGATGATTATGGTGATTTATTTTTAATTCCAGGTAGTTATGAGTTTGATAAGGAAAAGTATGAAAATGATGATACAGGTTATAAAGAGTTTTTTGAAAGTTTTACTAAATTTAAGAATAAATTAAAAATAGAAGAAATAATTATTAAAAATAGTAGTAATTATTTGGGTAGTTATAGTGATAGTGATATTGAAGATGATAGTGATAGTGATAGTGATAGTGATGGATTTGATAGTGATGTTCTTGATATTATATTATCTGATAGTGATTGAATAATGGCTTAAATTCTTCTAATCTAATAATAAGATTATAAGACTATCATGTCTAACCAAACAAATGGTTTTAAGGTTTCTCAACCTTTTATAACAGATAAAGAATATAATAGTTTATCTTTGGAACAATTAAAATATGTTTTAAGTCAAAAGAAAAAAGAGCTCAGTAGTAATTATAAACAATTAAGTGAAAAAGAAAAAATAATACGTGATATTAGAAAAATAGATAAACTTAATGAAAAAGTTCAAAAAGGTATTGATATAAAAAAAGAATTTATGAAAAAAAGAGAGAAGAAAGAAAAGAAAAAGATAAAAACTTTTGAAGAGTATTTTGAGGAATGTATAAAAAATAAAACAGTTCCCCCAGATACTCCTTCTTATTTACGTGAAGCTCTTGAGAGAGCTCTTAGGGAATACAATCAAGGACTTATTAAAGAAAAATCATCTTTGGAAAACTTTGCTAACAAATATGTTATTAAAGGAGAACCTGGATTAATTCCAGTTGATTTTTTAAATAAAATTTATAGTACTTTAGAAGAATTTTTTACATATCACAGAAACATTAAATTTAATATGCTTTTGGTTTGTTTAATGGAACAGCAATTACTTAGTAAAGATAAAGGAGTTATAGGATTGAATCAAAGTAAGGCTTACTTTACATCAGGAATTCGAAAAAATTTAAAATCAACAGATGTAAAAGAATTAATTAATCTTTGTTATAAAAATATTCTTAACGATATAGATGCTTACCAAGAAAATGGAAGTGGATGGTATTTTGTTCATGTAGTTCAACTTGAAATTCATACTGTTGAGTTTAACCCAGCAAAGGGGTCATCTTACATTCCTCTTCCAGATTGGATATCAAACAAAAAAGCAATTGTTAATATTCAAAACAAAGATGAGAAATGCTTTCTTTGGTGTATACTTAGATATCTTCACCCAAGAGAAGATAATGATTCACGATTAAAAGATTTGAAAAAGTATGAAAATTCTCTTAATACTAAAGGAATTACTTTTCCTATGAAATTAAAAGACATTACAAAATTTGAAAAACTNCAAATTTACAACCAGATGATTTTTATAATACAAAAAAAATATTTAAGAAGGATGTAAAATTATTAACTCGTAAGGGAGTTTATCCGTATGACTATGTTTCATCACTTGAAAAATTATCTGAAACACAACTTCCACCAAAAGAGGAATTCTATTCAAAATTGAATGATGAAGATATAAGTGATGATGATTATCAACACGCTATTAATGTTTGGAATACTTTTGAGTGTAAAACAATTAGAGATTACCATGATCTTTACCTAAAGTCTGATGTTCTACTTTTGGCAGATGTATTTGAAAACTTTAGAAAAACTTGTCTCAAACATTACAGCTTAGATCCAGCACATTATTACACATCTCCTGGGCTAACTTGGGATGCATGTCTCAAAGAGACAGGTCAAAAATTACAGTTATTACATGATTACGATAAGTTAATGATGTTTGAGCGTGGTATTCGTGGAGGAATATCCCATATATCAAAAAGATATGCAGAAGCAAATAACAAATATATGAAAGATTATAATCCTGATAAAGAGTCTACTTATATTCAATATCTTGATGCAAACAATCTTTACGGATGGGCAATGTCACAATCGCTTCCTACACATGGATTTATTTGGATGAAAAATATTACAAAAGAAAAAGTAATGGATATTTTAGATAAGGCAAATCATAGTATGTCAAATCGTGGAAGAAAAGGATATATATTTGAAGTTGATTTGGAATATCCTAAAAAACTATGGAAATCACATAATGACTATCCTTTAGCACCTGAAAAGATGATTGTTAATGGTGTTGAAAAACTTATATGCCATTTTAAACCCCGAAAAAACTATGTTGTACATTATCGTAATCTTAGACAATATCTTGAGATGGGAATGAGGCTTACTGCTGTTCATAGAGGAATATCATTTTATCAAAGTTCTTGGATGGAGCCTTACATAAGAAAAAATACAGAACTTCGAAAAACAGCAGCTAACAATGAATAATTCTGTTTTTGGAAAAACAATAGAAAACATAAGAAAAAGACAGAATATAATTCTTATTGATGATCGTAAAAATCCTTCTAAACTTACAAGTCGACCAAACTTTGATAGAGCAACAATATTTGATCATAATCTTATTGCAGTTCATATGAAAAAAACAGAAGTGTATTTTAACAAACCAGTATATGTTGGTCAAGCAATTCTAGATTTATCAAAAACATTAATGTTTGATTTTCATTACAACTACATTAAAAAGAAATATAAAGACAAAGCTGAGTTATTGTTTACAGATACTGACTCACTTTTATACCAAATTCATACGGATGATTTTTATCGTGATATTTCTTACAATATAGAAGACAAGTTTGACACTTCTGATTATCCACCAAACTATCCATCTGGAATACTAACAGGAGTAAACAAAAAAGTAATAGGAATGTTTAAAGATGAAGTAGCTGGTAGACAGATTACAAGATTTGTTGGTCTTCGTCCGAAGCTTTATAGTTTTAAGGTAGAGGATGGAGTTTTAACCAAAAAGTGTAAAGGTATAAAGAAGAATGTTGTAAAAAAGGGAATAGAATTTGAAAATTATGTTGAGTGCTTATTTACCGGTGAAAAGCAAATGAGAACTATGAAAATTATAAGAAGTGAAAATCATGACATTTACTCAAAGGAAGTAAATAAAATAGCTTTGAGTAGTGAAGATGACAAAAGAGAGGTCTTAGAGGACAAAGTAGAAACTATTGCTTTAAGATAATAAGATATAAAAAATCAAAATGACATATACAGAAGATCAAATAAAAAATATTTAGAAATATTACATAATTATAATAAAAAAAATGTGGATGTAAGTAAAAAAGTTAGATGTAGTAATTGTCAAAGTAATAGTTTCTTAGTTGAATCAGGTTATAATATTTGCGATTCCTGTGGTACAACTAATGGTCATGTTTTGGGTTATTTTGACTTGAAAGAATACGATCGATTTCATTTTCGGAAGAAGAGTATTTATCAGAGAAAGTATCACTATGAGAAAAAGGTTGATCAAATTTCTAGAAGACTACGTCTAACTGAGGATGAAAAGTATGAATTATATAGTAAACTAATGGCAATAGATAATCATGTAATGGAAATACTAAACAAACAATTTTGTCGGAAAAGAATGATAAGCATTTTTTATTTAATTAAAAAACTTTTGGAAGAAATGGGATGTGAAAAGTACAAACTAGTTTATCTAAAGATTAGCCCCCAAACTTTAGAGAATTATGAAAAGTGGTGGGATCTATATAATAGTTTAAAGAAATAAATGTTTAAATAAAATGAGTAAGAGAGTTGTTGGATCGACTAAATTTGAAGCAAAACAATTGATTGATTCAATTGATGATGGAGATTTATTTGAATATTTTTTTGAAGATGCTATTCCACCAGATGGTATATCAAAAGAAGATTATCTTAAAGAATTAGAAAAAGAGTTTTACAAATTAAAAAGAGAAGAAGCTAGAAGATTGTTAGGTTTACCCAATAAATAGTTTTATATTTTGTAAAAATATAAAATTTAATCTTCTAAGTAACTATATCCACTTTAAAATACTCTAAAAATATCTAAAAATGCCTTTGTTTTGTAATGCAAATCTTCATCTATTTCCATATCTAATTTTAAGTTATTAAGAGTAAAATATATTCCTTCTGTATCTATTCCATTGTCTTTCATAGCATCTTCTACAAGTTTTGAATTATATATAACTTTAATATTTTTTTCATCAATTATAAATAAATTATCTAGGAATGGTTTAACTAATAATTCTCTTTGCTCTTTTGTTATTTTATTCTGTTTGTGCAATGTTTCAATATCTTTAAAACAAAGATTATTTAGGAATTCTTCTTGTACTTCTTTCATTTCTTTAAATTCTTTGAGTATATATTCGTCATGTAAAAAACTAAACATTTCTTTTAGTAATGTTCTAGCAAGACGTTTTACATCTTTTTGTCTAATAATAACAGCTGCCATTTTATTTATAGATTATATTATTTTAATCCTTTATGAAAAATCCAGTAAATAATTCCAGTTAGATAACCAAGTACTTCACATTCTTTAAACGGAGTGTTGATTGTATATACACATCCTCTTCCAATTCTATAATGTTTCCAGAAAGATTTGAAAGCGAGACTGAATATTAGATGATTGGTAATAATATTTGAATCTGAATTTAGGTAGTGTCTTGCTTCTGTCAACCTGTAAATAATTTGGTCTATACCTAGTTTTTGTGAAAAATACTTTGCGTAGAGAAACTGATAAACTAGACAAACTTTAATGAAGTTATCCGGATAAAATTGTGTTTTATAAGTTGGAAAGTAAAGATTAACATATTCTACAATTGATTTGATCATTTTTTTATATAATGCTTAGATATAAAGTAATGGGAAATAAACTTCTTTCTATAAATGATTTTTTATCTAATTTTTCTAAGGAGGAAGAAAGAGAAGATATTATAAAAATATATAATCTTTATAAAATAGAATATGACAATAATAAAAAAAGAGATGATGAATTTAGAGTAGGAAAAGTAAAATATTTTAATCAATATAATATAAATTTAAATACTTTACTTTTTTTATTTATCTATAGTAAAACAGGAAAAACAAATGAAGATGTGGTTTCTCGATTAAAAAGAGAACCTGAAAGAGAAATTATTAAAATTATGTTAAAATTATTATAATTATATTTTTATTTTTGATTAAATAATGGGGTTTACAATATTTTCTATTTAATTTAAATAGAAAATTAATTATGGTTTAAAGAAAAGAGTAAAGTAATATAAAAAATGATGATAGAAAAAGTTTTTATTAATAGTCATCTTGCAATCAAATTTAATTCTTACATTGATGAAGAGTGTTGTGTTTGGTTTAAAGCAAAAGAAGTAGCTACTATTTTAGGTTATCAAGATACTAATCAAGCTATTCGAAAACATGTATCAGACACTCACAAAAGAAAAGTTATTTTGAACCAACCCGTCGATTCAACGGGTTGCTCTATGACTTATTTTATTGATGAAGCAGGTTTTTACGAACTTGTTTTTAGATCTAGATTACCTGCTGCAAAAATGTTTCGTGAGTGGGTTTTTTAAAGGTATTACCTTCTATAAGAAAATATGGATATTATAAAATGTTTGATAATAAACAATCCCGAAAAGTTATAATAAATGGGAAAAAATACTACAAACATCCAGTGTTTGATAATTATGCAGCTTCTAAAAAAGGAAATATAATTAATATAAAAAGAAAAAAAAATTAAGTAAAAAGAAAAGTAATGGTAATGGTTATTTAATTTTTTGTTTGTGTAATGAAAAATTAGAAGAAAAAAAGAATTATTATCAACATCGTTTTGTTTATGAGGTATTTAAAGGTACGATTCCAAGCATAATGGAGATTGATCACCGAAACGGGATAAGAAATGATAATCGGATTAAAAATTTACAATTATTAACACCATGCCAAAATAAAAATAAATCAAATAATAAACCAATAATTTCTATCTGTATTGAAACTGGAGATAAAAAAAGATTTATTTCTATTAAAAATGCCTCAATTGAATTAGATATTTTTAGTTCACTTATTTCTAAAATTTGTAAGGGAGAATTTAAAAAAGCGACATCTAAGAAAAATGGGCATAAGTATACCTTTAGATACCTAGATTAGTTTTCAATATTTAGATAAATATTGAAAACATCTAAATACACATTTAGATAATTAGATTAGTTATTAAAAATGATAGAAAAAACTTTTAAAAATAAACAATTAGGAATTAAGATTATATATTAGTATTTAATCTACATATTAAATTTATTTTTATACTTTTCCGCAAAGTTATCAGCACTTGATGGACATTGATCAATTATCATTTCATCTAATATTTTAATACGATCTATAAATTCTTGTTTATTCCACTCATCTCCTCTAAGTGCTGATCTTAATTCAACAAGCACTTTTTCATAAGTAGTATAAGCTAACCTTGTTGTTTCTATTTTTTTCTTAAAATCCTTCTTTTTTGTAATTCCAACCACAATTACTCCTGCTCCATTTATTACTCCAAGAATAATTGGGTTGAGTGTTAGTCCTCCTGTTATAGTGCCAACAGCAATAAGAGATAAACTAGAAATAAAAAAAAATTATCTAAAAATTTATAAGATTTATGAGATTTCTTATAACACCATTGTTTCTTATGGTAATGTTTATAAAGGTTTGTTATAGTTTCTCTTTGCTCTTCTGATAAATATTTGTCTATATGATTAAATTCAAAAATACTTTTCTTTTACTACTATTTCTTTTCATTTATTCTTTTGTTTACATTAGTGCGGTGTAGCCAAGGGAGGGGGTCATAGGGGGAACCATAGGTTCCCTATAATACATAACTTCCATTTAACTTTTCTTGAAGCATTGCTTTGTGATATTGCTCAGAGTCAGTGTCGTAAAAGTTTGGAGAATACATTAACCTTTTTATTATTCCATCTTCAGTTGTAAACTTCCAACGTTGATTACCATTGTATTGAATGGATGGTATAGTTAATGTTGAGCTGTAGTTACTTATTGAAACTTTTGTAACATTTGAATGAAAATCTTCTGCCAGCCATAAAATAATTATTTTTCCATTAAAACTACTTAGCATGGTAAAATTTTGAGTTGTTTTATTGACAGTTAAAGTTACTTTATTGTTTGATTTATTATAATCCAATTTTACTAAAATATTATTGTTTGTTGATAAATATTTAGTTAGTGTAAAACTCCTATTTCTCCAATGAGTAAAAACAATACATAAAGTATCTATCGGGGAATATGAAGGAGAAAAAGTAACATCATAACCATTAACATGTAATCCTCTATATCCTATTTCACTTAGGTCTTTATTAGGAGGTAATGTAATATTAGGAATTAAAGAATTAATAACAACTCCAGATGAATCTATATTTATTCCGTAATTATCTGCATCAGCAAAGTCATAGAATTCACTAAAGTATTTTTTGTACAAAGCATTTTTAGTAAAAGGAATTAAATCTTTTACGAATGCAACTGTTGCAGCACTATTGTTACTGTTTCTATCGAGATTAATGTTTAATATTTTTTTATTATTTGCATTAATATCAACATTATACGTCACTTCTGTTGGTTTAATATCAAATGCGGTGTGATAGTCGTAAACTTTATCTGGGTCGATATTGCTAAATGTACCCACAATTCCATAAGCAATGATGTAAACCCCTTGAAAAATTATCGGATATTTATAAATATTATATCCTCTTCTTGAAATATCAACAAGAATGTGAAGAAAGAACTTATTACCAGATGACAACTTCCGGAAATTAACTATTATTTTATGGTAGTACATAGTTTGTGTTTGCCCTTTTGGATTAGTATACCTATGGGATAGTTTTCTTATACCTACATTTCCAATTGATAATCCTGTTGAAGTTCCTTTGTCAACACTTATTTGAGTCTTATTCCAAAGAGTATAATCTGTGTTGAGTATTTCCAAACACAACGTGTAATCAGTATTTGCAGGTATTCTGTAAAAATTAATTCCCATCTTATACTTATATTGTTGTTTATTTTTAACTATATATAAGTAAATTACTTTGTGATTATAATCGTGAAAGTTGCCTTTGTTTGGTGGTAAGTCATCTATCCTATTTAAAATAAAACTATTTCCACTATCTATTTCATCAGTCCATTGAGACCCACTTGACATAAGAAAAGCAAACTGGTTTTTGTAATGACTTGGTTGAACTGCAGTATGATGAACTAGTTTATCAACATAATCTTTGGTTGCAGCATCACTATTTTGGAGTGGTTTACCAATATTTATTATTTTATTACCACCACCATTAAGTTCTCCAGTCATAGCAACGCTACCATCTTTTTCCAAGTAATCACTTAAATCTGGGGCAGTTGTGTTATCATCAACATACTTTTTGGTTGCAGCATCCGTATTTAACGTTGGAGTAGCGAGAT